GGAGGTCGTGGTGGGTGGATAGGATCAAAATACATTGTATGAATGTATGAAGTTTTCCAAAGAGTAATTTTTTAATCTAAAGCTAAATATATTAATATACTTGAATAGTCACTAGTGCCTGGTTGGCTATTATTATCAAGTGGCGTTGTGTGCAGGGAAATAGAAGACAGAGGTGGAGTGGGGAATGCCTGAGCTGACAATAGGGAGCTGTCCATGAGCTACAACAACCTGTTCCTAAAGGCTTCTAGAAACCCCCAAAGGAAAGGATAAACTTGGACAAGTGGAACCCAGGCTTTTACTGACATGAGGCCCTACACCTCAAGCATGCTGGGCACCTCTGAGGATGCATGCTGTCCCAATGAGTCAGCTTCCTGAGTGGCTTCCGGTCACAGCTCGGGAAATCACTGGGGACTTGATCTCATTGCATATAGGGTCTACGGCTGCATGGTTAAGAAGGGACAGGACAGCATGCATTTCTCCAAGCCTTCTGCTCCAGGCCCCTGCCAACTTCCTTCAGTAATGGACCAATACTTGGAGGTGTAAGATTTAAAAAAAAAAAAAAAAGACGTTTTCCTCCTCCAGCTACTGTGGGTCATGGCGTTTATCCCAGCCACAGAAAGCAAACTGAGACCTGATGTCCAGCTGACAGTCTGTCATTTTGGGGTCCCTAAAGGTCCTAGGCATGTGTCCCAACAGCCTCAACTCAGTCAGAGCCCCTTGAATATAAACTCTGTGTCCTTCCCTGTAGCAGGGGCCCCAGAGAATGCATGCTGCAGAGTCACTGCCGGGAGCCTTTGCTTCACTGTAGTGATTGATTACAGCTCCTAACTAGCAGCTGCAGTGAGGAGATCACGCTAGCTCTCCAACAGCAGGCCTCTTGTGAGGACTCAGCTAGCACTCGGGCTAGTGGTGGGAAATGGAGGGCTGGGACCAGAGCGTTAAAATTAGGGCTGGACCCCAGGGAGCTGTAAACTTGGAAGGATGCTCTGTTCCTTGCCTGCTTTGCAGAGTGGGAATTCACACAGAATGGGGACTTCCGGCTGAACCCTGGCCAGCCTCACTTTCCTGCCTGCCTGGCTTCTGGGCTCTCAGGGAGTCAGGCTTCTGCCCCTGGGGGCTCCAGCTAGCTTGGGAGATCTGAACCTCCCCTGTGGCTGTGCTGCCTCAGGAGCCCAGTGAGGGCAGAAGCCCTTTATGAACCATGCCTGCTCAGCTCCCGGAGAACTCAGAGAGGCCCAGAGCCTGTTAGTAAGACCACGAAGAAAAAGAATGAAAATCTCATGTGGACCTTGAACCTCTGTTTAAGGGTCTAACTGCCTCAGGGCTGAGCTAACCAGGCAGAACAGAAGTGGCAATAGCTAAACTTGTTCAAAGTAACATTGGCTTCCAGGTCTTTGGATGAGGATGCAGAGAAGCTGGGATTCAAGACCAATGTGGTCTGACCACAGAGGTCATAGTCTTCAACCTGTTCTGTCTTCTCTGAGAGACCTGGACCTCTGGATCCCAGCTGGCTTGAGTCCCTCAAGCACCCTCCCCCAGGTTCCCACACTGCCTCAGCCACTGAAACTTGCAAACATATCCATGATAGCCTCTGATTCCTATAAGCCCAGAGACAGAATCACAGCACTTGAAAAGCCTTCGGAGACTTTCAGAACCTACCTCACCATTTTGTAAATATTGGCTCTGGCTCCAGGTCACAGGCAGCCATACCTTGTGGGGACCTTGTGGGCATTCGGGGCTTGTACTGGCCACTCAAGGATCTTACCCTTGACTCTACAGCCGGCTCATGGATTCCTCCCCATGCTGTATCACTAACAAGCTTCACCCAGACCCCGGCCCTCATGCAGCTGTAACCACAAGCAGCAGACAGCCACAGGGGTTAGAAGGCAGTGGCTTGATACGGTTTGAAAGCATTTATAAAACACAAGATTTACTTTTAAGTGTGTGTGTTTGTTTGTGTTGTTGTTTGTTTTTTTGTGTGTGTGTGTGTGTGTGTGTGTGTGTGTGTGTGTGTAGAGGCCAGAAGAGGGTGTCAGACCTACTGTAGCAGGAGTTGCAGGCAGTCATGGGTGGATAATGCTGGGAACTGAACTCAGGTTCTCAATAGTTCTCAGTACCCTCTCTTACACGCTGAGAGCTGCAGATGTGGGAAGAATGGGGCTCCATCTCTACAAGGCGTTAAGCTGTATCTTTGCTGGTCTTTTATTGTGCTTTAGGCGTGTTTTTGTTCGCAGGAGGCATGGAGGTCCTCGTGCGCACAGACCAGTGCTAGGGGAGTCTGGAACGTTAAACACCAAGGTTGTTCCTTCAAAGGAAGGGATTCAGAACCTGCTATCCAAACACAAGGCTGGGAGCAGATGCTATTAATAGCCTGGTGACCTTTGTGCTGTATGTGTGGCCAAGACCACACTGGACCTTCCCTAGCCCCTTATCATACACTCGTTTTCCTCAATCTATAAAACCCATCTTTATGGACACTGTCACATGTACTTTACAAAGAGTTTTGATGTAGGGGCACCCTATCTTTACTTAGCTTCATTTGTGCTTTATTATACACACGAGATTGACATAATTATTACCAGGAAAGTTTCCACCAAATTGTTCTGTGCTTAAATATGCCTAAAATTAACTACTCAGAGTCAGACTCCCAAAGTTTGAACCAACATGGCTACTTAGTCATGTTCAACGGAATGACCTTCTTGTCCACAGATTGTTATTCTGCTCACGGAGGTAGTCACAAAAACCCACATTTAGTCTTGGGTTAACTGGGGAGGTTGCCCAAGATTTGGGATCCAGGTTTTGCCTCAAAATATGAGTTCAATGTGTTACCATTGTTAGTGAAGTGGAGGGGTAAGAGATGGCCATTTTGAGGGGAGTACAGGAGTAACAGGGTTGAAGTGAGCCATCAGGGAATTTGGGAGCAGCCACACTAGAGTCTACTCACCATTGTTTGCCTTCTGTTGTCACTCCCTTTCTTACTATGTCTTATTTGTTATTACTATAATGATGATGATGATTTACACTTTATTCACTTTGTATCCCGATGTAGCCCTCTCCCTCATCTCCTCCTTATCCCACCCTCTTTCTCTTTTCCTCCTTGTCCCCCATTTCCTAGTCCACTGATAGGGGAAGTTCTCTTCCCCTACTATCTGATCCTAGCCTATCGGGTCTCATCAGGACCCTGCCTGGATCCTCTTCCTCTGTGTCCTAGTAAGGCCACCCTGCCTTTTTATTCCCCCAGTCCACAGACCTCAGCGCCTTGAGGGTTGATGGTGAGCAGCACCCACATGGCTCCAGATGGCCCGGGATGGTTGTAGAGCATTCCCTGAACCCTGAGCTATGATCTGCAGACAGAGAGATGGGAGTTTCAGACCCTCAAGGAAAAGGCATTCCCCCACCCCTAAGCTGCCAAGTTCACATCTCAAACTTATGAACTTGAGATACAAAGATACAAGGAACTATTCATTTCTAAATATTTGCTGCCTTAATTCCCACAGTTATAATATGTAAGAAAACAAATGTTATCACAACATGGAGATATTTGTTAAGAATCTGTCCATCTGGAAAAGTGATGCTCCCTCACAAAGTCACAAGCCTGTTTCATCTGGCTCTGGTCAGTGTGGGACCATGGTCAGATACACACATTCAGTGCAAACCAACTATAAAGTTCAAGTCAAAGAAAACAAAGTTGGCGATCTTCATAAACAAGGCCTTTAATCTGAGAGGCTCATATGGAGCTGGGCCAGTGACCAGATAAAGAAAAAATGAGGATGATGGAAAGATAGGTTCTTCAGATGGGAATGACTTCAGTATCTTGGGGAAATGGGTATAGCCTTACATTTTAAACATTCTCTTGATGGCGTTGCTATAAAACAAAATATAAAGAGTATGGTATCTTGTGAACACATTGTTTGGATAGAAAAAAAATAAGCAGAGACTGGAAAGAAAGTCCAAACAGAAAGTCCCAACCATGAAATCATAAGAACTTGAGTTTGGATCCTTTAGCACCCACATGAAAAAGGGCAGAGGTGGTGTGAGAAACAGAGAGAAAAACCCTAGGGATTTCTGGCCAGCCAGTCTTATTGGTGGGGCTCCAGTTTCAGCGAGAGACCCTGCCTCAAAAACTAAAGTGGAAAATAATAGAAGACACCCAACAACAAGCTCTGGCTTCTATGTGCATGAATGCACATGCATAAACTACATATACAGAAACAAAACAAAACAAAAAACACATGAAAAACTCTTGATTCTTTGTTCAACTTAAAAAGTAGCATAAAACCTATACTTTATGATAGACATCTACATATTATAGAGAGCTAAATATAACTTTTCTAATTTCATTTGCAAAATAAAAGCTCAACGATATGTTGTTTGCTGTTGTCCTTCCTTTTGTTATTTGTCCAGGGTTTTTGCTTCATTTTGTTTTGTTTTGTGAGACAGGCCTCAGCCTGTCGCCTAGGCTAGTCTGGAACTCAGAGTGACCTGCTTCCTCAGTTTTCTGGAGGCTGGGACTACAGGCATAAGGCACCATGCCTACCTCAATGAGGGTACTCTTAAGGAACATTTTTAAAAATCATTTTCTATTTTATTATCAACTTTTACTGAAACACTTTCCTATTCTTTACTACGAACTTTTGATGTTCATTTTAAGCAGATTCTTTCAAAGCGGCCTTTGGCTGTGTCTGCTACCCTGTCCCTTCTACATCTTTCTCAAGGGTGGGAAGGAACATCCTGGACCAAGGAGGTTACACCTGTCAAGAAGCCTTATTCACATACTGTATAGATGGCTCCACACTCAGGATTTGTGGGACCCTGGCCCCTTAAACGAACTCAAGGTAGCATATTCTTCAGAGTGAAAGTCACACACCTTCCCCAGGCACCCCCTGCAGTCAGCACTGCAGTTGGAGCACTTTGTGGCCAGCTTCAAAGCTATGGCCTCAGCCCAGAATGCTTAGCTTGGCCCCCACCCAGGCTAGCCATGGGCAGGAAGGGGCACTTACTTGGGTCTGGGCTGCCTGTGGCTCTCCAGGGGGCTCCTCATCCTCAGGAATGTGGGGCATGGCAGCCGCCTGGTTGGAGTGGCTGTGCGTGCCTGGAACCTCTGCTGTGTCAACCCCAAAGATGCTCCAAGAGGCTTGGGCTCCGCAGGCTGGGGAGATGCCAAAAGGACAAGTCAAATTCCTTCCCATCCCTGTCCCAAGCTGGGTTCCATTTCCAGGATCCAAGAGCCACAGATCGGCTGCTTGGTTTTGCATCAACGCGGGAGGTCAGTCGAGGCTAGGTTGGGAGCGGGCATTGGGAACTGCATTCATTGCCTTCTGCTCTCTGGCTTTGTTTACACAGGCAGAGGTGACCTTTTGCATCTAATTTGGTCCTTACAGTAAACGCAGCTATTCCAGAAGAGAAACACTTCAGCTCCTCAAAGCTATAGCTAAGGGAGGACAGCTCACTGAGATCAGCGGCGTTTGCATACCATCTGTTGAGCTCCTACTGGCTGTGTGACCGTCAGTATCAAATGGACTCCTTGGAGGACCTTTGATGAAGGTAGGCTCAATAGTCCCATTCTACAGGTGAGGAAAGAGCCTCTCAGGTAGAAGCCACTTGTCCTGAGTCTCACAAAAAACTAAGTGTTTGCAGCCCGGTCTTTTTGATTGGAGGCCAGGGCTCTTTCCACTCTACCACACAGCCCTTCCTGTGGCCTGCCTCCTCCTTCTGGGAAGAACAAAGGACAGTGCCATTGAATGAGTAACCACTGTGTCACAGGTCCTAGGTGAGTATCCGCTGACTGCTAGAGCCTACAGGAAAAGCCAGAAAGCGCTGCTGCCTCCCATGACATAGATATCCTTCTTGTTCCACAGAGAAGGGCCTGAAATGTTCTGCAAACCAGAATGCTGCAACCCAGCCTGATGGGTGCCTTTAGCCCCAGCACGCCACACCCCCTTGGCCCAGCTCTCTAAGGCAGGGACTTTGGTTTGTTATGAATATTCAACATATCCATAAAAATGGTGGCTGGCTTATGTTTAAAGAATTGGAGACGTTTAGTCCAGGAGCTGGCAAAGGAGTGCCGTCTTGGCTTTTGCATCACCCCAATAAGGTAGCCCACTCAGCGTTGAACCATATGGGGTGACCCCTGCTGTTCATCTTGGAAATTTCATCTCAACCAAGCCGTTTGTGCACTGAACTTTCTTTTTCTTTTTTAATGGTTTAATACTGGGTTTGATATATGCCAGGTTGACTTCAAACTCATTATGTGGCTGAGGATAACCGACTCTCCTTTGTCCGCCTTTTAAGTGCTAGGATTCCAGGCATGTGCCACCATGCCTGGCTGAATCATTTATTTTTTTCCTCCTCAAACAAACTTTTTGTTAGGCCTGTGCCCCATGTCGTGACACAAAGAGAGTGGGAGTGTAGTGTTTGGCCCTCATGGGGTCTTGAGTCCAGTGCTGAAATGCAACTGAAAAACTGATTGGCATAAATGCTTCAAAATGAGGTACCATGAGACCTCAAGAAAGAGCCCCTAACTCTGCAGGCTGGGAGCATGAGACATAGTTTTAGTGATGGCTCTCCGTGATGAGAGGTGTTTGAGCTGAGCCATGACACAGAACTATGAATGACACTAATCTATTTGCAAAATGGCCTCAGGGCTGAGCATGGGAAATGAGCTGGCAGAGGATGAGCCATGCTGGGCTGGGCTCCAACAGATTTATCCTGACTCTAGGGTCTAAAAGCAGGGGCCAGGGCCACTGTGCCTCCTGTCCCCAGAGGCTACTGGATGAAGAAACTGAGCATCAGGTTCTCCAAAAAAGAGCTTTCCGAATAATTTCACCATCTTTACTTAGCATCGGCAGCAATAGCTTCAGCAGTGCTGACGGTGGTAAGGGGGTCCCTGAGGGCAGCAAGTTAGCTCCCCTTCTCAGGTAATGTCATTGCCTCATCCCTGCAAGTCCAACCTATCTTAATAGGAACCGTTTCCAAAGCATGGGAGGCAGCCATTCCACTTTCCATTTGTGCCTTAATCTACACAAAGCATACTGTGTACTATAAAACAATGATTCAGACCAATAAGATCAGAAAAAAAAAAAAAAAAACAGAAAGAAGATCCTAGGAGGAATTTGTGTTTAAGAACTCAAGACTTTAGCCTGGGCCAGAGAAGCTGCAAGGGAAAAATCAGCCTCTTCTTGGATATGGAAAAGGTAATCTTATGGCCCTGTCACAAATGGCATGTGACCCTCAGTCACGTGGCTCTGAGATCTCCAAAGAGCAGGTGTATGGGCAAGGACTCAACAGCTAAGTGAGAAGGCAGAGGAACCTTTTAGTGGCCGGAGCCAGCTAAAGACAAAACAGGATGCTCTTCAAAGTCAAGAGTTTCCTGTTCCTGGAGACTTTCAATACTGGCTGGCTCAAGGGGACACAAGAATTCCAACCACCACCATGGCCCTTTTTAATTCTGAAGTCCTGGACTCAATCTAGTCACAACAAACCACAAGGATGCTCCCAGACCAGGTTTCATTCAGAAATCCCAGGATGATAGGGCCATGCCAGAAATATCCCTTTCCCTAACCTTCCACCTCCCTCTCTTGAAGAGAGACCTCTGCCAGTCCCAGGCCAGAAACAAAACTTCATGAACGAGGTCAGACCAACCTGGAGATGCTGCCTGAGGCATGACGGAGGCTGGCTGCAGTCCCACTGGTGAGCAATATGGAGCCCACCAGCCCCCGCAGCCCTGCTGTGGGCCATTCCCATGCTGCTCAGGCTCCGTGTGCTTTCCCACCCATTATTATAAACTCACTGCTTAAAATAGCAAGGTAAAAACGCGGTCCAGCCCCCAGGGTGACATCTGGAGGGGCGACATCTGCGGGGGCTCATGGGCATGTGGACCTCACATTCATCATAGCGCAGTTTGGAATACAAGCTCCAGGAAGCGAAGGTCTGGAGTGCCAGCCCGTAAAAGGAGAGAACACTGAGTCATGTTTGTCTCCCTGTCTCCCTTTCCATCCACTGCCAAATATTTCCTGATGCTTCTCCAGCCAGGTCAGGTTAAGTGAGTCATGCCAAGAACCAATTAACTCTTTGGACTCTACTCATTTGGCTTTTTCCCAGCAGTGAAACAGAACCTGGCCCATTTTATGAGGAAGAAAACTGAGGCATAGAGAGGCAAAACAAACAAGACAGGGTTCAGTTACTTTTGGACCCAACGCAAACTAACCCAAGAGCCTCTACTGGGCACTTGCACAGTCACTGTGTAAGTGAGGAGGTTACAAGTCCCCAAACCATCCTTAGATATTTGCTTACTTCATGAAAACCAAAGAAAAATGATATGCTTTTGTCGTCCGTACACCAGTGTCCCTACTGGGTATTCAACAACTACTGTAAGTCTTCATGCTTAACCCCTACGAGAGGGCGTGTGTTTACTTAGTTTTGTTTTTGCGCAATGCTGGCAATTGAACCCAGGGCCTTGAGCATGCTAAGCAAGTGCCCTGCCACTGAGCTACACCCCAGCCCTTTCTTGTAAGTTTTATTACTTTTATTTAATATAATAAAGCACTGTGGCTCAGGATCAGCAAGGCCACATATCTTGTAAGTCTGAGTCTAAAGGCTTCATCTTCTCTCTTACCTCGGGTATAGCCTAAGAGCCAGTGCAAGACCTCTCTGCAGCAGGGAGAGCCAGGGTATAAGATCCCAGAGTCAGGGAGAGGACGGAACACTGAACCTTTGGTTGCCAGCCCAAGAAGACTCTGAGGGTAAAGGAGGGGCCCAGCTTAGGAATATGGCTCAATGAGTAAAGTGCCGGCCATATAAGCTTGAGGACCTGAGTTCAAGTCTCCAGAAGCCACGTAAAACTGAACATGACAGCAGGCATCTGTAATCCCATTGCTCCTAAGGAAGGATAAGAGGAGAAGACAGGAAATTAAAGAAGAAGCTGGTAGACCACCTCACCTGGTATTAGCACAAACAAGAAACCCTGCTGCAAACGAGGTAGAAGATTAAACTGACATCTGCGATTGTCCTATGACCTCCGAACACGAGCTGTGACTCATGGGTTCCTGCCCAGAGAAGAGCCACAGCTTGAGGTTTCAGGCCCCTCGTGCATGGTGTGGCAATGTGTCCATTCACTCGGGGAGGCAGCAGCCCATTCTTTGGCCTCACTTTTTACTCTGCCAGTCACACAACTGTCCTGAGACTTGGACATTGAATCACTCATGCTGGGAAGCCTCACACTTAGGTCAAAGGCATAGGCTCTGTCCACAAAGAGCTGCCTTAGAACCCTGTGGGCTGTCAGGAGAGCAGGAAGGCAGGGGGGCTCTGGCAATCGAGGCCATGTACCTTTAATTCTATTCCCAGCAGCCATCAGGGGCTTCTTGTGTTCATTGTCCTGGGGAACCTGAAGTATCTAGGGTAGCTATGGGAAACTCAGCCCATCTGGCAGATCCCATTGGCTTGCCATGCCCCTGCAAGCACCAGGCTGTCTTCGGGAGTCAGGGAGAAGATATGAACAGTTTTTACAGACATGTCCCCCGTGCTCTCAGCCTCCTGGGGAGCGGGCAATGAAAGTACTAACACTACTACATGCTTAGTCCCATTTGGCAGATGACAGAGACCTAAAGTCATCATCCAGGAATTGCAGTGGCAGGCTTGAACAGTGTATCTGCCTGACTCTGCTGCTCCTTATGGGGCCAAGCCTGCTGGCCTCTCTCAGAGCCTGTGACCTGCCCAGAAAAGATCAAAATGCTCCCTTGAAGCCACAGTGTCCCAAGAGCATGGCATGCATGCTGTGTGGCTCTCACTAGCTCTGTTGATGTAGAAAATCCGAGAGGCCCTTGTGAGAAGCAAGGGGTTAAGCCAACCACGTGTATCTCACTGGGGTGACTCAGGCTTTTCAGAAGGGAGGGTTTTGTTCTTCCAGCTTGGGATTTTTGCTTTCACTTGGCACCCAAGGAATGTGAGCGTGATTAGGTTGCTATTAATATCCAGCCTAGCTTCTCTCTGGACAAAGGACTGAGGCAGGAGACTGCTCAGAGTAACTATCTCTCTCGGACTTCAACAAATCCAGAGGGGCAGGAGGCTGCCTGTCCTGTTCCCACTTTTGCAGATGGGAGCTGAGTCAAAGCAGAGAGCATGGATTTGAGCAAGGCCACATCTAGGGAAGGACAGCTTCTGGAAATGTCCCTGAGCCCCTGCTCCTGGGTGTGAGTGTGAGGCTGGCGGAGGGCA